AACGTATGGATGCTTACGTATACGTACGCTCAGGCTATTTTGGGATGTTCTTCCTTGAATTACATTGATTTTTTTTTCCCCCAATCCAACGACGACTCACTGTGGTCTCTGTTTCGGGGATTATGATGTTGGAATTTTTTAACTTGTGGCAAGCATTTGCCGAAAAGTACTATATTTGTGTCTTGTTATTACAACGTCATTCTTTCTATATTTATTTTTCAAGTTTAAAACAAGTTAATATAATAAATATTGTTTTATTTTTGTTGCCATTGATTCATAAAGATATTTCGTGCTTCGGTGTAGAACGACTAGTAAAACTTTGATTTTTATTGGCAGTTTTCTATTTTGTCGTGTACATAAGAACTTGAGTCAAAGGATCTTTTTCGGATGTACATAAATTGATACGAATAACAATAAGAAATTAAATCATCATAGTGTCAGGGTAGGATCCGAGGATCATTGTATTTTGTATTTTAACATGAAGTGTACCAATGATTATTTTGCAAATCTCTAATAAAATTGTGTGGAGTTGCAAAAAATGATGACAAGCCAAAGAAAAGAACATGCACAGGTTATTGTAACTATACACCATCCAATCTGAAGTGCATAGGAAATACTTTTACATTGAAACCTCATTCCAACGGTACCTGCTTTGAAAAATCCAACACTTCCACATCCAAGCATCATCATCTCACGGACAACGATAATACTCATTTTATTAAGCAGAGCTCCCCAGAGCAAAGGGCACGGGCACATTGTGTGAAAAACGAGATCACGAGGAGCCTGTATACCTACAGCGGCAGAGTACAAAGTAACCCACCGATAACAACAATGATGACAAAGATCGACACACATATGATTCCCTTGCCACCCGTGAGTGTGTATATATTTTCACAGCGATCTCTTAAGCACCTTACGCTCTCCCTTTCAAAACACGAACAACGGCGTCATGTGCCCTCCCGGGCCCAACCTCTACCTCATCAAATATCGCGGGCGTAGGTACAACGTGTATTATATACCCGAATCGTGTGTATTCACCTCGCGAGAGAGAAAAAAAGGTAGGTCTCACGGGGTATGAGAGAGAACTCGTATATGCTCTTCTCCCCCTTTTCCGAGTAAAGGATATATACTCGTAAATACAATAATAAACCCTTCGACTGATGCTGCACGGGGGAAAAAAAGCAGCCTGGCACACGCGACACCGCCATACATATGCGTGTACCATATTCCTACCCCCTCCCTCCCCCGAATATACGTGACAAGGGACGAAAGAGAGAGCTTTACGAGCCTGTCAACGTCACTTTCACCCCCACGCGCTCGCCATCGGGATACGCACTCGTCATTTTCGTCCGGTCATTGACACCCTCGCGTTCGTACAGAAGAGCGCAGGAGAATGCGATACGATCGGTATTTTATCATACATGCTATATGTGTGTGTATATGTACATGCAGTTTCCGCGGAGATAAACGCTTTACTGCCGAAAGGTTTTGCCCGTTACTTACTGCTTTGACTCTGGGGGGTTGGGGGGATGGTATATGCCATAGAGAGAGAGAGAGGGCGTTGCTTCGGAGGTTGATAGTCGCGTAAACGTCGCTTTTAATGCAGTTTAGGCTTATTTATGTCGGATACATGCAGGGGCTTTCGGCTGCAGTCGGACCATACGATTGTGAGGTTTGCTCTTTTGTTCGTTGGCTGTGTATGTTTGATGAGTTGTGGTTTTTCGGACTACGTTTATTTTGGGTTTCAGGATTTTTTTTTAGGAGTGGAAGGCGTTTCGTTCGCTTTTTTGATCATCTATGGGTGATTGTTTGATTCTGCTTGAGGTTTGGAGGATTATGAGTGAGGGATTGATGCCAATTTGATTCGGAAATATTTCGATGCCTAAATGAAATCGTATATCATTTCAAATGCGTACCATGAAATTGTATTATCTTGAAAGTGGAAAAAGGTTTTTGGTTCCAAGGAAAAACTGTGATATAAGCTCGTGTGAGTCACCGTCATGAAAAGTGTTTAACTTAAACTCTATAAAAATGAAAACAATATGGGGAAAAAATCCGACACGAGTACAAACAAGGAAAAAAACTTGGCTGATTTTTTTTTCTATTCTTCAGTGAAAAAAACGCAATCCTTAAAATATTCTCGATAATTTTTTTTCCCCTTTGCTAACGACGAACGTTGGAAGCCGCAAATTGATCGACGCAGGAAACTTGTGAACAGCTCGAGCGAGTGCATTTGACGTTTGAGCTTACAACGAGCGTATAAACGCAGACGCAGTACGACACAAATGATTTGCATATGCTTTGAAATCTTTGATCTTTTGTGTTTGTATCTTGGTGCTGTGAAATTGTATGCACGAGTTGATGAGTTGATTGACGCAGAAAAATCGTCATGACTCGAGACTCATGACGGCACATTGACGAGTATTGTTGTTTTTCTGTATTTTTCAAGCAGCTACGTCAAATGTAGAATTTTTTTATTTTTTTATTCCATCCACACATGAGAAATTAAAAAAAAAAAAAATTAATCTCTTCCGTGCAGAGAAAAACACGCAATATATCTTCATGTACGACTCCCATTTATTTTTCAAACATTGTTTTATGAAAGTTTGTCCCCATTGAAAGTGACTGTCTCACACACATAATATTTCCCCGACGAAACTTCATACGGTTTTAAGGGCAGTTGAAAACTACCCAAGCGTTTAACCTAGATTTCAAAACTTTTGAAATTGTACGCAGAAATATTGCTCTGAAAAGGGAGCGCCTTTTTTATGGACTCGTGTTTGTTTTCCGTCAGTATGAAAAAACACGAGCACGTGCATGCTATGTGTACGTAAATTGTGCAAGAAGAAAAACAGAAAGTGACCGGAAAATTGTGCTTTTTAACAATACTTTCCAAATTTCTCAGCGTTATTGAAAAAAACAAAGTGTTGTGATGAATTCTTGACGTGGAAAAATTGTTTTTTATTGAAAAACTATTTTTCAGATTTATGATAATAAATCTTATTTTATTTGAAAAACTTCTATTTCCTAAAGCAATTTTCTCTTCTACTGGTAGAAGAACTTCAAAACATTCTTGAATTTTCTTTTAAAAAAATCTTGAACTTCCTTTTGTACTTGAAAAACTTTAGTACATTACATAAAAAAAAAAAATGAAAAAATTGTTTTTATAATCATTCTTGTCAAGTAAAGCAGAATTCTCATTAAAAAAGCTTTTTGATACATTTCCCAAAAGTACAAAAACCATCCTTGAAACGAAAGATCAATAAGTATAAAAAACAGTTTATAAAAAAAAAATGACCTAACCACCACATGCATCCTTTAAAGCAAGCAATACACCATTCATAAAAAAAAAAAAAAAAAAAAAAAAAAAAAAAAAATCATTCGCAAACACGTTAAGTCCTCGTATAGCCTACAGCTCGAAACGAAAATTCGCCAAAAACCTCTTCTTTGTACGGTAGCAATACCAACAGTACTTTTAGAGGTCTACTAGACTCATCGCCGTACATTTTCCAATCGAACACGTATGTTTGGCATTTGACACCTCTGGGGTTGAGAGAATGGTAGGTAGGAAAACAGAGGACTCACAGCAAATAAATCGACAGCTGAACAAAGTTCCTTTCTTGTATCTATATCTACTACTGCTACGTTTCATTGGTGTAAGTTTGTGATTAAAAATACTCTACATATTTTTGTAACCCGAATGAATTTTTGATGAAGACGGCTATTTCTGTGCAGAAAAAACTGAAAAATGTTTTTCAAGCTGATTTTCCATGTTTCTCCAATAGTGTTGTAAAATAGTCACTAAAATTATAATTTAACTTTACTTTTATTGCCCATTACATATACAACTGGTATATTGAAATGTTTATTTAATTTTTAAGAAATTAAACATTAAATAACCTATTTATTTTGCAGTCAAAACGTGTGTATTCACCTCGCGAGAGAGAAAAAAAGGTAGGTCTCACGGGGTATGAGAGAGAACTCGTATATGCTCTTCTCTACTTGCATTCATAAGCAACATTTAAAGACACTTTTTGCCTGAATCCCACGCTCCACTCAATGTCCACGACCAAAAACTTGCAATCTCCTCTCGTATACTTGCCTGTACCGTTCACCGATGCATCACTCGCAAAGCAGGGGGTCAGCAGGCGCGTTNTGACAAATAAAAAAAGTATAAGATTTTCTTCTTTTCTTAAATTTTTAGTACAAAATTCAATAGGTAATTTGTTTGAATCACAAATTACTAAACAGTTTTTAAATCTGGTGTGTAGCACATTCCTACATTTATTTAGACATGACTAATACAAAGTAAAAATATTTTTTTAAACTCTAGTATGTATGTGTAGTCATGTGCATACTATACTCTATATAAAATTCTAAAACTCTCTTGGAAATTTTCATTTAAAGTAAGCAATTAAAAGCTATTCAAATTATAAACTAAAAATCTAATGGATACTTTTAAATTATTTTATTGCGTAATAAACCCCTTGTTACAATATAGCTTTTAAATAAATTTTTCTCTCTCTGCATGGCAAAATAACACAATAATTTTTTACTTCAAAAAATAATTTACGTTCGTGTCATCTTTTTTTTTTCATTCACATAACAAGTCATAAACATCGTCTGATTATTCGTATTACCGAAAACGAAATGAGTAAGAGTGATTACGTAACTTAAAACATTATACAACTGATACTAATTATAAGTGTTATTCTGAATTTGAATTTCGTAAGGCACGAAAACATCGATAAAGAAATTTTCGTATAATTTGAGAAAAGATAAAAAAAAGTGAGATAATACTGATTCAATATTTATCAAGCATAATAAGTTTTTACAACCATAGTTAATCGAAAAATTAAAGAACACCTGAAGCATAAAATTACACCTGATAAAATAAATTAAAACTGGAGGAATCACCCCGTGCACAGTATAAAACCACCCAAAAAAACCCAAAATATTCATCAGAAATCGCATACACGGTCGACACCCAACCCTCCAAAATGAAGTACTCACTTGTCACGCTGTGCCTTACGTTCGTCGCTGCAGCCTACGCAGAAGAAACTCTACCACTTGTAGTCACTGACATCCCTGAAGTAAGATCCACCTTTATCAAACTAAAGCACGTGGAATTTACCGAAAAACCGACACCAGCCCCAAGAGAACCCACAATCTTTGCCAAACTGAAACACGTCGAGGTCACGGAGAAACAGGAATTTCATGAAAGAGAACCGACTCCCTTCGCTAAACTGAATCACGTCGAAGCTACCGAGAGACCGTTACCTCCAAGACCGAGCTGCGAGGATGTTCAGTGCAAACCTGGTTACCATTGCTTCAATGGCGAATGCCAGGGTCCCATGAGGGTATTAACTTGCGCCAGAGTCCGCTGTACTGTTGGATACAAATGCTTTGAGAACCCAGCCAGGTGCGAGCGCGAGGAATGAAACCCTCCCCGTAAGTTGATTTCCTTTCAGGCACGTTTTATAAAAGTGAAATATGATTAATTTAAACATCATGGAAACTTGTGGTCTGTCATCACGTTATTGATCGTAAATAAATTTTTTACGTGTTTATTAGTAGCTGGGAAAGTTATACAAAAACATTTTTCTGAATGTAATAACCAAACTTAATGAATAGTCCATAATTTTTTTTATTTCTAGAAGCTCTAGTTCATACATTATTAAAAAAAAGAAATGTCTTTAAAGAAAAGTAGTAGGGAAACCTTTATTTACAATATTTACCTTTTTACTGTAGTAGACAACATTTTGTGGCTTCAACGCTTAACTAATTAATTCGTTTCTGAAACAGTTTTGTGTTGAACTAATAAATATACCTATTTAGCATCTAATTGTTGGATTCGTATTATTTACCAATTGACCTATCATAAGCAAACCATTTGATTATTTTTGTGTTTTCAGATGCCAACTTTGTTTATAGAACATCCGGAACCTTTCATGTCAAAATCTAAAACAGAGGATGGTTTTGAAATCGCATTGCATCCCAAATCAATAGCTGCTCGATCACTTGGTCAAAAAAAAAAAAAAAAAACTCACGATTACTGTTATTAATTTATTGTTGCCATGAAATTTTTTATCAAATACTAAAGTTTACTTTAAAATAACGTAGTATTATTTTTTTCGTACCCAGTAGCCTATCGTTATTAAAAAAACGCTTGTGCGTATACACTCTCAACACTACCACGAACTTTATGATAATTGTTCTAAAATATTTTTCTCCATTCGAACAATGACAAACGCATCTCCTGTTTCACAAGTAGAGAGAAATGGAAAAATGAACGATTTAACGTGTTAGGGTACACAAACTTTGGCCTCGACAAGCGGTGGTTTAGATTTTTATGAATACACGCTGTCGACACTTGCCCAAGAGTCCAAAGAGGAATAGCAGCTGCAGTGTGTTCACGTAGGTGGTTTTGATTGCCACGAGGCCGAAAAAATATCGAGCGAGGGTGTTAATTCACGAAACGCTAACTGATCCCACCGCACGATAAATATTTCGTGAGGAAGAAAGAAGAGACAAGGTTTGAATTTCAAATTCATATAGGCACACAAGAAGCAAGCGAGCAAGTAATACACGGAGCAGAGGAATTTTTTTCTCGAAAATTTTCCCTCCGTTTGCTCAACTAATATCGGAATGCCAGGGGAGGAAGGGAGCGCGAAAAAATGTTAATGAGAAAAAACATCCCGGCGGTAGGTTGCACCTTTTTGTTACACACTGGACTCGATAATTCAATGCTAAGCCAAACAAACGCGCATCATTAACCTTTTGCTGCTGGGCCGATCTTGAAAGAAAAAAGGACGAAATGAGGAGAAAAAAGGAAAAATTTCTCGAGCTATTTCGTCTATTCCTTTCCAACAATCGCCGTGGCGAAAAAACAATAGACCCCGCGTGAATTGGCTTCTGGATACTGGTTCCGTGAAATTTATGTCCTCGCACGTGAATGGAGGCGCGAGTTTTCTCAGCCAAAGAACAGGATGAGCGCTGAGGGGAATCGGAGAAGGAGAGCGCCCGGGATTCTACAGCCACGCGCTGGCCGAAAAATTGGATTCACCGTGGGATCGCACTGGAACGAGAAATATCTGTTAGAGACCAGCTTCGAGCGTGTTTGCGGGTTCCTTTTTTTTTGTTTTCTCCAATTTTTTTCCATCGCAAGTATTTGGAGATACAAGAATCACGATGAACCTATGTAAATAACAATTAAGTGGCCTTTACCGTGTTTTTGCTTTTGTTTTCTGGCAGAATGAGTTTGACGGTAAACTGGAACTACCGGGGGTTTTTTTTTTATTGCCGTTGGGACAGTGTACCTGTACGTCTAGCGAATCAAATTAACTAATTGTGAAGATAAATTTTCTACAAAAATTTTTTTAATAGTCATTAGATGATAATTTCAATGCATGAGTAATACTAACTCTACTAGAAGTGCAAAATACCCTCGTTTGCTCCTATTGTTTATAAGACACCCGGTAAGTCCGCAGATCAAAGAAAATAAAAGGGCTCTGAGGACTGACGAGTAAGAATAGCTATAGGGATGGCGTGGCATCTGTTTCTCCTCGTGATAAGCGGTGAACCCATCCCTGTTTCGGCACTTCCGAGCCATACACCTTTTGGCTGTCGAAAAAAAAAAAAAAAAAAAATACCACGTCGACGAAGGAAAGAAAAAAGGGAGGAGAAAAACGGTCCCTCGGGGCAAATCGCTCGGGCAGCGCCTCATCAATTATGAGAAATGACCGGCCAAGAAGACGGGAAGCGAGCGGGACACGCGTATTCATACAGGAAGTCACTCCATATCTTTCTCTCCCTCTCTCTCTCTAAATGCATATCTGTGTACGCTTGCTATAATAAAATACACGTACCAAGCGACTTTTCCCGCCCTCCCTTTCTCGTTCCAGGAAACCTCGTCAACGCTACACGCGTGCGAGCATATTATATATACGGACGAAGGAGGAAAATACACGTTTTCTACTTTTTTTTGTGTATAAGTATGCGAAGGGGGAATAAATGAGTAAGTATATACATGCGCGACGCGTCAGTGCGAGAAAAACATCCATTGTGACATGTGTACGAGGGATATACATGTATAGATAGGTGTTTGGGGGGAATGAGAAGGAAGAGTCGCACTCGGTGTTTTGTCTCGTGTGCCTCGTTTTCTGCTGGATTTTCCAAATAGTCGATAAAAGATGCAGCGTGGAAATGGAAATTACACGGCTTTTCAGTTACAGAGAAGTGATTTTCACTGAGATTTTTCTTTTATTCATCTCTGGAAAATTGAGCTCTACCTGTATCATTTCGGAGTTGAAACAGAAAAATAAGTATCCATTTTTATAATAAATCGACGTTAATTCTCTTTCTTATTTTTTTGCAACATTCTGTGATGGTCATCTCAAGAAATTCACTATAAATAATGAGATCATAGTCGTTCTTAGGAATTATTTTTCGAAGTGATAAGAGTTGAATAGATTTTTATGAGTCAGAAAACTTTAGAAAAAATCATCCGAAAAAACCATGAATTTCATTATTAATACTTTAATTTTGAAACTAAGATTGCCTTGGTTAGCACTTTTTTGTTGGTATACTGAGCTGATTGAGCTGATTTACTTTCGTCAAGGATCTTGTTAAGACCAACAACTCATGTTGCAGCAATTTTTCCACGACAGCCAGAAGAAAAAAAATTAAAATTTGCAAAAATAAAACCATCTACGAATTTGAAAAACATATGACGCTAGTGATCATAGGATGAAGAGATCAAGAGCAAAAGGAAAAAAATTCAAAAACGCTCGAGTCTACCTCGACTATCCATCTACGGACCTCCTATGGCGAACGAATGCACACGGGGTCCCGGAAGAAAAAAGAAGTCAGGCGGGCCCTCCAAGTTTTCCTCCAAACACACGCGTCACAGCACATAGTACACACAACCGACGTTGTCAACGGCTTTTAGGACCGCAGGGCCCCACACATGTGCTCACATATACATTGTATACAAATATACACAGTTCGTGTGACAACGAACTCAGCGACGCGTATGTACGTGCGCTTGACTTTTGTACGCGATACCACCCTGGCGTTTTTTACGGCCCCGAGGGCCCTCGGGACCCTCTGCGTATCCCTTTCGTGCCCAATTTCCCGGCAGAATTTTTAATGCACGGCCTCTTCTGTATACATATACACGCTGAGTTCTCTTGTACATCAGAGACGTTTTCCCCCCGTTTTTTCTCGTATTAACTGTACTTATGTACCAGGGTTAAATTCTTACTCGTATTAAAGTTCCCTCGTGTATATACACGTGTTAAGATTGGATATGATTCCCACAGTATTTTACTATTACTGTTGTTAGAGTCTGCCCTCAGCTTGATTTGGTCCTTTTTTTATTGTATTTTATCATTGTGAACTTGTGAGGGTACCATAAATATACACGTTTATTGCACGTAGTGCTGGATTTTGGTCAAATGGCGTCTGTTTCTATCGATTTTAATGGAGTGATTTATGGGTGTGATGGTCCTACGTATGTTTTTTTTTTCGCGGTAAAAGAATGTAACTAAATTAATACCACCCAGTTCTTTTCATAATGGAAACTCAGTGATGCCGAATTATATGAAGGGGGTTGATGACCTCCACCCTCTGACAACCTATTCAATTTGGCAATTTCAAAATTCAATAAAGTCCAACAAGATAAGGAAAACATACCAGTTCTGGACAGACGTACGAATAGCACTTCAAATGATGCAAAGATTAAGATGGTAAAAAAATGGCACCGTCAAACATTTTTTAATTTTAATATGTCATTACACTTGCAGTATCAATAACAAAGCAATGATTTTTAGCACACCTGGCCTTATGCTGGTGCTCGTCGAAAGAGTAATTATTCAACATTCATACCTTAACTATTTCAACAAACTATAGACAGTGACTAAGCAAGCCGTAAGCCGAAATCTCAGCAAAATCCGTCACATGTCAATTTTGTCACCGACACCCTGGATATCATCCCATGAAATGACGAGTTTATCCCATTATCTTTGTTCCACGAAACGATTGAAAACAAAGCATGTGTTTAGAGCTTACTATTGATAACAGCCCAATTTTTCAATCAAGCTCCAGCCCACTCCAAATCAAAACTAACAACCCAAATGGCGACCTGTTTGGCCGCCTGCACGACTCCAGTGGCAATCATCAAATCAAAACAAGTACACGAAGCGACGAGCCGAAAGAAAAAGAACATCCACGCCCGATGCGACTGCTCTCTTTGCTTCACGTCACCCATAGCGTAGATAACGTTTAATTGTACACATTACTTGCATTGTTTTTGTGTATACTCAGTCCTTATTTGGGAAATACAGGACTTTACAGAGGGACATGGACACTTGAGAATTTCTATTACACGATGATGGATATACGCGTTAACGCTCACGTCTACGAGTACCGCGATAACATCGACATTATTTTAGGGAGGCTTGAGATTTAGGAATTGATTTGACAGGAAATTTCTCTATGAATTATTTATTCGTGTATCTTCCTCATTTCCTCTTAGTTTTTTTGCTCTTGACGCCTATCTCGTGGAATGAAATATTACCTGCCATACCAAACGTGTATTTTTTAGTAAAAGTTAATGCACGTAGGATGAATGAAATTCGAGGGGAAAGTGTGTATACTCCAGAAGTAACGCAGACGTATCGCAACCCTGCAAACGTTGCTCGACTAATTCCGTGACGGAAGTAGCTTTGTCTACCGTCGGACAATACTCGCACGTATACATCTCCAAGTGCGCAGGAAACAAAATTGTACCATCCCTCCCGAGCAGCTCGCTTCGTTTTTCAAATTTTCACACAGCAAATTCCATCAAACCGAAATTACACCCAGTCAACTCCCGCGTGACAGCCCTTTTTCCGACACATAAAAGCACATCCTTCCCTCATCCTCGGGCATCCGGAGTCTCCTTTCTTACGGCAAACGTGTATATGTGGATCAAACACCAGCGCGTAATATATCAAGGTGCCAGGGGGGGGCTGCCACGCGACT